CATCAGGGTGTTCACATGTGCTTACAAATCTAGCTTCAAGCAATTCAACACTTCTGGTCTCTGAGGGCACCTGCTTTCAGGTACACTTATACATGATCACATGTACACGTAATTCTAACTAAAATAAATCTGAATAAAAAGAATTTAATTTTGAAAACTTCTTGGTATACATATAATTTGACCCTCTATTAAAATAAAAGCAAGCTTGAATACTAATTATTAGATACTTTTTATTTATTCTTGTTTAAAATTAAATCTTGGCTAAATATGTAATAGTATAAGTTCCATAGAATCTTCAGTGTTCCTGAATTCATTAGAAAGCAAAGATAAAAAGAGGATTTCTGCATGAAATTATAACAGGTCACCTCTCAATTTCAGTAATCTATTTCAACTTCACCTCCTTTACAGCCAACTTTCATTGGCATAGAATAAGCATTTGCAATTAAAGTTCATTACTTTGCACAGGTTTGGAAATAAGTGACTTTTAACTGTGCAGTTTTAATCATGTTATAGTTTTTGGTATCATTGAGAAATACATCTAACTCTTGTGACATGATGTTGGTTCTAAGTGCCTTTCACATGGACTGTGTAGTGGATTGAAGTGATACATTCAGTGTCATGCCATTTCTTTATGCTCTGAATGTACATCCACAAATATGACACATGGACATATCTTCAGATCTTTTTTAAGTATCATCTTCTCAACGAAAGCTTTTCTCATTTTCTTTTGTCAGATTATACCACTCCCATCCCAGAATTGCCTTTCTCATCTTTGATTCTTCTTCATAACGCTTAGCACCCATTTTAGCACATTCAATATTTCACTTATTGAACTGAGTCATCTAGTTGCCTTATGCCTATTATAAAACAGCCACCAGAGGATGAACATTTTACAGATTATTTTACATCTCAGTTCTAAAAGAATGTATGAGGAATAGTAAAAAAAAAATAGCTGAGAAAATAAATATCAAAACATGTCTCTCTAGACTTCCTTTTCTTTAGTGCCCTCAATGCAATTGAGATTCAGTTATCAAGTAGCAGCTAGTAATTACTGCCACTCAAGTGTAAACTTCCCAGACCATTTAAACATTATCATAGTACCTGGAGATCCAGAGGTTTCTATATTCTTTAGCCTCTGCTTCCAAAAATTCTATCTTTTGTTATCAGTTTCCTTGAACGTCTGCCACTAAATAAATACTCTAGAAGAGATAAACAATGACCAAAATGTCTAGTTTGTTTGGTTCAAAGATTATTGAAAAGATTACAGTATATAGTATACTCTGTTTTAAGGCAGGTATAAGAGTAATTTAAATTTAAATTTAAATCTCTAGAATCCATGCAGAGCCATGAACATCAGACCCTGGTTTGCCAGGTTGTCATTTTGTTCTATTATTTCCTTTCCTCTAATCCTGCAGTTTGAACAAATGGAAATTTCCTAATATAATCTATAATTTTCCTACTCATTTATTGATGTATTCATTTCTGCTTTCTTGACTTAGATGAATATTGGCCTATTACAGGGTAAATCCTGTGTTCTGATGATACCTATCCATTCTTCTTTTATCACTTTCTCATTCAACAACACCATGGTCTATTTATTACTGAAACAAGCAACACTAAGTGACTTGATTCTTTAAAAGGAGGTCTGAGAAGTGGACAATGCGCAGATCATGAGAGACTTTGGAATACTCTGTCCTAAATCAGGATGTCTTCATCACAAAACCTCGCTTCAGAGTTCAGGAAACTATGAGGAAGGGCAGAGGCAGAAAGACTGTCATAATCAGAGGAGATGGACGACAGACAGCAAGCAAACAGTATCTTGCAGACACAACAGGACTGATGCGCATATGAACTCACAGAAATGGTGGTAAAATGTGAACGACCTGCACAGGCCCAAGCCAGATGGGTCCCAACACTAAGCAGAAAAAGTGGACTTGATCTCCTACCCATAGCCAAAAAGATAGCTCCAGTTGACAACCACTTGCAAAGGAAAGATTAGTTTTCTCAAATGGAGTCTCACAGGGTTTATAAGCCATACTTAAAATCAGGCCCCATGCCCAGCAGTAGATGGCTAACACAAAATGAACTCAATACTGTTTTTATAGTGTTTTTTTTTTTTTGTCGTGTATTGCTATTTGTTATTATTGTTTTATTTTGTTTGTTTGCTTTTCTAGACAGGGTTTCTCTGTGTAGCCGTGGCTTTCCTGGAAATCACTCTGTAGACCAGGTTGGTCATGAACTAGCAGAGATCCACCTGCCTCTACCTCCTGAGTGCTGGGATTAAGGGCATGTGCCACCTCTGCCCAGCTAATCTTATATCACTTTGTTTGAGAAGGTTTTTTTTTTACTTCTTTTCTTCTTTATCAAGACATTTTCTATTCATTTTTACATACCAACCACAGATCTCCCACCTCCCTCCTCCCACCTCTCAGCCTTCCCTCCCATCCCAACCCCCATTCCCATCTCCTCCAAGGCAAGGTCTCCAGTGGGGAGTCAGCAGAGCCTGATTCACTCAGTTGAGGCAGGTCCAAGCCCTTCCCTCTTGATCAAGGCTGTGTAAAGGGTCCCACTACCTCCAAAATCCCTGCTCATGCCCTTGTGATGGATCGTGATCCAAATGCCAGGGGGTCCCTTAAGCAGATCAAGCTATATAACTCTCTAGCCTGCACGGGCAATGGAGGGTAGTGTATGGGGGATGAGAACATAAGGGAACTGACCGTCGAGCTGGAACAGGATCATAATGGATGAGGAATGAAAGAGATACTGTGATGGAGGGAAACACCATGGGGAAAGGGAGAAACCGCATGCTGGGAAGTTCCCAGAAATCTACAAGTTTGAGAAGTTTTTTTTATTTCACTGGTCTTTTGCTTGTGTGTTATAGTTTTCAATTTTGTGTTTTTATAAATGTATGGGTGTGTTTCTAGTGCTTTTTTTGCTTTGTTTTTATTTGGGTTTCTGTGAGTTTTTATTTGCCTACATTTTTGTCCAAAGAAAGAGAAAAAGAGGCATGAAGTTGGAGGGTTAGGAAGGTGGTGAAGATCTGGGAGGACATGGAGATGGAAAATTCATTATCAAAATATATGAATTTTCAATAAAACAATGAAAATAAAGAGAAAAATAAAATAAAGTAAAAAAGAGATATAGGGAGTTGTTGGTACAATAGATGCAAAAAGTATGTTTTTTTCAACCATCTTACCCAAGGCATTCATGGATTCATGCTCTATAATTATAAAATGATAAACTATGCTAGCAAATATTGACCTAGTATTCAACTGAAAAAATTGAACTAGTGTCCTTTATTGATATTTTATTTGACTTATTGATAACCTCCAAAAAGTACTGTGCACATAAAGAGACCCATAAACCTTATCAAGGTGGCAGCTCCTTCCTACAGAATGGAGTTTTAATCATTTTAATTGTATACCAGTATTGCTTTCTTGACAAACAACTGTCTGGAATCTCGCATTTTAAAGTTCTTCCTATTGTCCACAAACATTGCCAAAATTCTCAAGTGATAAATTACATCTTCTATGTGATCTAAATATTTTGTCTTTGTCCCTAGCTAATTCTCTTCTGACATTATATGGAATGTTAGATTTTATTTATTCAGAAATACAAGGACTTTTGATATCCAGAGAGGATTTCAGACTTCCCATTATGGGGAATATTTATCCTCTTTGATTCCAGATACTGCAATATCACACTCTTAATTGTATGTGTCAGGAAAGATGGAGAATTCAACAAGGACAATGAATATATTCATTCTTGTCTCACAATGAGGTTACAACTAAATATAATATTTATAAAATGAATGTATTACACATGCTTAAATTCACACTTTTGCTATTATGGTCAAGAAGCCAAATAGCTCAAGTCATAGTTCACTGTATTTAATATTTGTGTACATGATATGGAAATGATCATTTACTTGTGAAAATATACCAACATCTCTGTGCAGAAGGATGAAAGATCATGTACTGTTAATCATGTTATTCTCTCATACCCACAGGCATGTGCAGCTTAAGCAATATGACTATTTATATACAGCACTTATTATTTTTGGCTTTGTATTTTCACTAGCTCTCTGTATATACTCATTTATAATGTCTTCATGTACAAGAAGACAGAGTTTTCCATGTATTTGATTTGTTGGTTGAATTTAGCACAATGTTCAGCTGGTAGAAAATATTTCAATAAATGAATGCATGGTAGATGATCAAATTGTGCAAGCCTATGGATAAAGTAAGGAGAGCAGGGGTGTGCAGAGCCTGAAAAACTAGCATTTATAATATCACTTGTATATGTTGTTGTTCCTTGTAACTTTGTGTTGTATTCAGGAGGGAGGGCGTGATTGATTTTAAGGCTCTGCTTTTCCTTTCCAATTCAATGATTTATTTTTCATTTAAATTAAAGACACGTTCCTTCCTCAATAAGAACTATGATGGAAACATGGGGACACCATACATCTAAGGAGAAGTATTCAGAGAGAATAAAATTTGAATCATGTGCATTTGCATAGCACAGCAGTCATTTTGACATGCAACATTTTTCAAGTTCAATGCAAAATCCTCAGGTTGTTGATCACAGAGTGAAATCCTCTACCCTAGAGAAGCACCATTGTATTGTGCACACATGTAAAACCCTCAAAGGGCTTTAGCAAGTGACATGTCTAATAGAAGCCACAGGCTACATCTAGCAATGTGTGTGCAATTGCTTTGTGTCTGGCAGGAAAATCAAATGAGTTAACATTTTGTGACTATAGAAATTTTATTAGCTGTGCTTTCTGCTATTTTCCTACTCCATTTTTTTTCAATCAAGCACAATTCAAGGCTGAGGTAAAGTGGCTAAGAGTTACACTGACTTAGTTTCTTAAAATCTCTTAAGAAAAACAAGGACACAAGAAAAATGTAATAGTATTCTATTATAATGAATCTTCTCTTTATTTCTTCTTTTAGCTTATTATTCTCTGTCATAATCATTGTTACTGTAAAGAAGTCCTTTTAGTCTTTTTATGCATGCAGGAAGCATTTTGTGATTTTTGGAAGCATCTTCCATTCTAAGCATGTCTATGTTCAATTAATGTGGTAGGAAATTATCAAAAAAGAGGAGCACATCAATATTCTATGACGTAGTGGCCATGTGACTTTATAGAATATCCTCAAAGTTAAAATGATGCTTTGTCCATTCTACCCTCCACAATTTCAGTTCATTGAAAGGATGGAGATAAAGGGCTGTAGAACTCAGTAACAATCAACTCCTATAACGAAGTTTATTTTTTAGTATTAACTGAAATTAGATGTTTATTTTATTTAACAATTCCTTTTTAAATTTTATTGATTTACTCCTCTCTTACAATACATCCCAACTGCAGCTTTCCTTCCCTCTCCCCTCCTCCAGATGTACTGTTCCTCCATTTCTTTTCAGAGAGGAGCAGGCCTCCCCGAGTGATATCAACGAAACAAGATGCAATAAGAATGAGCACATACTCTCATTTCAAGGCTGGATGAGGCAAGCCAGTAGGAGGTCCCACAAGCAGGCAGAAAAGTCACACACACCCCACTCTCATTGTTCAAAGTCCAACAAAAACCCCAAGCTAGAGAACCAAAGAAGGTATGCAGAGGTCCTGATGCAGACCCATGAAGGCTCAGTGGTTACCACTCCAGTGTCTGTGAGCCCATATGAATCCTGCTTAGGTGAGTCTGTGGGCCCTCTTTTCCCAGTGTCCTTGACATCTCTTTCAATGGTATTGTAGAGAGTACATTAAAGTGACTTTAATATTCTTTCTAAACAGTCAAAAATTCAAGTTTTGGAATAAAACCTTAGGAATGATTACAGTAAGACATGTGTTTTTATTGAGGAAACTAAATGAAATGTAAAAAAAAGTACTGTGAAAGATAAGAAGCTATTGGATTATTTGATCTCACCCATTTTGAGATACTTAGATTGTTGTTGATGTCGTAGTAAAGAGAAGAAACAATGGTCCCAATAGAGGCTTGGCCCAGCCCAGCGTGCCTACAATAAAGTTTTAAAAATTCATGTTTTACATTGCTTTTTCTATTTCAACAGTTCAATGCACTACAAAAACCAAATGTGCTTGACAAGATAATGAGTCATATTTATTTCTTTTGAGAAGTGAAATCTTTCTATTGGATCTTAGTAAATTTAAGAGTAAAGATATATAGCCTGATATATTAATGTATATATTTATTTTATATATTTTAACAGATTTATTTTTATTTTTAAATTTCTGCATGCATGTTTGTGTGTGTGTGTATGTGTGTGTTTGTGTGTGTGTGTGTGTGTGTGTGTGTGTGTGTGTGTGTGTGTGTATCATGACTGTGAAAGTGCCAGGAAAGCACAAAAAGAGTAGTCTGAGTTAGAGTTGGTTGTGAGCTTCTCTGCATAGGTGCTGGGAACGTAACTTGTGTCCAAGGAAAGCAAGAAGAACTATGAAGTGCTTAGCCATCTCTCCAGCTCATATACTTGTTTTTTGTAGAAGTATTTCTACAAAATAGAATTACTCACATAAATATTGTATATGTAATATATATATGTGCTGTGGGATGTTCTGTATGGCAAATGTGTTGCTAATTAGTCAATAAATAAAACACTGATTGGCCATTGGCTAGGCAGGAAGAGTAGGCGGGACAAGGAGGAGAATAAAGCTGGGAAGTGGAAGGCTGAGTCAGAGAGACGCTGCCAGCCACCATGATGAGAAACAGCATGTAAAGATGCCGGTAAGCCACGAGCCATGTGGCAAGGTATAGATTAATAGAAATGGATTAATTTAAGCTGTAAGAACAGTTAGCAAGAAGCCTGCCATGGCCATACAGTTTGTAAGCAATATAAGTCTCTGTGTTTACTTGGTTGGGTCTGAGAAGCTGTGGGACTGGCAGGTGAGAGAGATTTGTCCTGACTGTGGGCCAGGCAGGAAAACTCTAGCAACATATATGCATACATATATTATATATTTGTGTTATATATACATACATACATTTATAATAATGTATAAAGAAAGCTAGTTTGGGATCCACAAGAATAAAATATTCCATTTAAAATGAAGTCAAATTACAGTTATATGCAAGAAGATAAATTGCAGGGTGTTTTTCATTGTCATTTGTTTTAATTATTGGCTAGTTTTCATTTCTTGATATCTTGTCAGGTTCTTGATCTGAAACAAAATGCAATTAGGAAGATATTAGGAAGATAATCAGCAGAAGGGGCATTCTTTTAATGACAAATATAACTACATTTCCACAATAGACACTGAAAAGTTGAGAATTTTGTTGGTACTCTTTTTTGTTAAACCAAACTACTGAAACTTGAGCCTATGAAGTTGCCTTAGTGATGTACTAAGCTTGAATTGTATTTCTTAAAATCTTTTGTGTTGATCTCCAGTATTGATAGTCATATTATTTTTATTATTTGCACAAAGCTGTTGTGTGTTTCCAGACTCACATGCTGGCAACAGACCTACATTCTTAACTGTGATGCATCTGTCATTTGCTTCTTTTCTGTGCTCTGCTCCACACTAGCTGAGGTATGCAGTACTCCCAGCACTGAGATTTTCTGAAAATCTACAAAAGGCATGCATCTAGCATCTTTCTTTAAAGTTCATGGCCATATCTGGGTTTGAAATTACAAATTCCTCCAATTTAGAGTTAAAGAAAAGCCACTGGGGTCCTAATGTGGCTTTGCTCACTTGTCTAATGGCTCGACCTCTTCGTGAAGACAAGTGGCTCTACTTCTGTAACACACGGCTGTTCAGCTGCCTATTTCTCAGACATATTGGTCTATCCCCACTTCTTTATCAAAACTCACGTTTTCAACTTTGATAATTCTGCAAGCTTGAATAATTTGTAGAATGTTTAATACTTATGTTTTTGCTTTCTAGTATTCAATTATATTTTTGAACAAATATAATATTCATTTCCAACTATATAAAATTTCCACCTCCCCCCCTTTCCAGGGCACAAAAACTTACAAGCAATTTTAATATACAATTTTTTTCTGTCATGTTTATATCCAAGAAGAGTTGGAGGACACAGAGAATTTGAGGGACACAAGTTACGTTCCCAGCACCTATGCAGAGAAGCTCACAACCAACTCTAACTCAGACTACTCTTTTTGTGCTTTCCTGGCACTTTCACAATCATGATACACACACACACACACACACACACACACACACACACACACACACACACAAACACACACATACACACACACACACACAAACATGAATGCAGAAATTTAAAAATAAAAATAAATCTGTTATTTATCTGAGAAAGTAAATCCAGAAAGTAAATTTGAAGATTAATTTGTGGTCAAAATAAATTGACTATCAGCTGAAAGGTCATATGGGAATACTTTAGACAATTCCCTTCCTTCATGTTAACTAACCATTGATTTAATCTTAGAGTCCTACATCTTATTCAATATCACCCTAAGTTAATCAACTTCAGTTTGTCCTGTCTTAAATGTCCCTCAAATTTTAAAATTCAGTGTAGCTTTCATTTCTTAAACAAAGCATTGCTTATACCCAGACTTTCAATTTTTATTTTTACTTACTTTCAATTTCAATTTTTATTTCTCTATTCTTACATATTCTTCATGTATTTTCTCTTCTTGTTTCCTATACATAATTTTAAATACATTGTTTATTATTCCCATTTCCTCCAAACCTTTCACTGCCTGGTATATTGTGGATATGTAATAAAGATAGTGATTATAAAAAGTAAATAAATGATATACAAAATAACCTGGCATGATGGTACATGTGTAGAATGCCAGCACTGGTTGATGAGAAGTTCAAAGCCTCCTTTAGTTGTATAGTAAGTTTGAGGATGGCCTGTGTACATGAGAAACTTTCTCAAAAAATATGTATGTGTATGTGTGTATGCAAACAGACACACACATATAAGTGCATATATATATATATATATATATATATGTATATGCAAGTGTGTGTGTGAGAGAGAGAAACAGAGAGAGAGAGAGAATGAAAAGTTTAGAGTGGTAAGATTAGACAGACAACATATAAAACTATCAAATTATCAATGTTAAAACCCGCATTAACAAAAAAAAAATCCATTATCTTAGCATTATTCAGTCTTCCCCAAACCTCTAGTAAGTATTGGTCATTTCCTGAAGTTGTACGGTTTATTCTATCTTTCAAAACTATGCCAAACTTTTTCCACTATTAACTGAAGACATACAGAATGGAAAATTTGATTGTTTGTTTTAACTAGCATATTTCTATCAAGTAATTTCTCTCAACTTCATTGCTACATAACATGTTTCATATTAAATAACCAGTAATTTTGTCTATCTTGATAATAGGAGCTATCATGAAGCCATTTAATAGCTGTACAGGGATAATTTTAAAGTAATGTTCTGAAGGATATTCATTTACTGCAACTTAATGGTTAAGACAATCTGAAATATATCCAAAAAACACAAGGAAAAAGTATATAATTGAGAAAAACATTGTTGTACTGCAATAAGGTCTGCCAAGATTCCCATTATACCAGGTGATACGTTCCCTTGGGCATCACTTGGCTTGGAAGGAATCAAACTAGGAGGGAAGCTAAACATTCAAATTGGTTCATGGTTTTATGTGTTAGAAAAAAAACTGAAGCAAAGAGATATGGAAAATTTGTCATTTTTTTGTTTAAATGAAACTCCTATTATTTCAAAGAGTTTATTTTGCTATAAGACATGAATCCACTCTACTTCCTGACATCACAAGACTGTTCTCAGTCCAATCTCTTTGGGGAAAGTAAATCCAGAATGTGAATGGTGTAGATTTGTGGACCACCATGCCCTGAGAACTGCAAAAGCTTTTGGAAAAGCAATAAAAGCTTTTCAAATATTTTTTTCTCTGAAAGCATTAAGTTTTGGAAAAACAATAAAATAAAATTTTTGCTATTTTTTTTTTACCATAAACATGCAACTCTATGGGGGCATGATTTATAAAGTACATGTTTCAAGCTAAATGAAGAATTAGCACAACTTCATGAATTATTTGAAGACTGTATTTCAATTTAGAATGAAGACCATAATTTTGGTTGTCAAAAATAAATGCTACTGACATGTTCAGACAATACCGCCATCTAGCCAATTCGCTGAAACTTGCAACATTGACATCTATTCTCTTGAGATTATTAACATTACTATCCATCCCTTACTTGCTTTCAGTTTGTAGTCCTATGAAATGAAACAGCAACTTCCTTAGAATGTACAAGTGTACAGGTGTCCTTGCTTATACATAAGCCTAAGAGGGCCAGAAGTCAACATCAAACGCTCTCCTCTGCCACTCCTCATCTTCTATTTGTTATGACAGAGTCCATCACTGAACACAAAGTTCAGCATTTCAGCTAGGCTGTTTGACAAGAGAGTCCTCAGAATCTATCCATCCTTTTTCATCCTGATGATGGTGTTACGGATGCGTGCATAGCTTTTACATTTGTACAAGGGACCCAAACTCAAATTCTCATATTTGTGCAGCAAGCTCTTTGCTCACTAAACCATTTCTCTGTCCTCAGATTAATTTTCATTGGTTATTGAACAAGTTACAAATAGGAAAAAGTATAAATACTGTAAAATATCAAACATGTGTTAAATTCTTTTAAACACAATGCTAAAATGATCCAAATCATATATATTATGTGTTGGTATGTGTTACACATGTGCATAAAAAGAACATGTTAGAGGGTGTGGTTTAATATTACACTGCTCAATAATGAAACATGAAAATCATTTTATGTGGCGACTCTATCCCAAATCTTTGAATTTCCAGCCTAGTATGTCCTCATGCTTTGTACCTCAGCCTCTTATTTAGAAATGTGGCTTAATTTTAAGAGAAAGCCATCCCAATTTTTCACAATTTGGCTGTTCAGAAGGAGAAATCAGCCTCTTTTGGCACTACTATGAGCATCAGGCATATGCTAAGAACTGTAAAATAAAGTCCAAATTATCTCTGCATGTCTTTGTTCTCTCTGAATTTTCTCTTCAGAAAATAGATTGTAGCATGACATTGGCCATGCTCACTGAAGGCCTGAGGAAATCTGTGCTCTGAGACATCACAAGTTTTGAAATACTGGAATAGTAACAATGTATGTTGAAAGTTGTGAGACTGGATTAGTAATGTGTGGAGCTCTAAAGAGATATGTTTGGGGAGATGCTTTCCCAGACTTGTGTAGACACTTCATGTCAAGAAATTGTTCATAACTAGAGTATTTGTTGTTTATGGCAGGATATTGCTATGGAGTCCTGGAACTTGCTACCTGTACCAGGCTGGCCTCAAACTTGTGGTGATTCTTTAGGCTTGAACCCCTGAAAATGATGACTATAGGTAACCTCCAACAAGCCCACCTGTCCTAGAATTCTGAAAACACAAGTGCAATTAACACTGGATTGAAAGACATCCTTCCTCTTTCCCATAAGCTACCTGTGAACCCAGGGCTAAGGCTAGCTCAAAGTTCATTTCCAAACTCACAAAAGCATTACACACAAAGTTGATGCTTTAATTTCTAATTTGAAATTTAAGAAGTTCAACCTTCATATACTGTCATATTTATTTCTGTATATCTGTGGTCATGTTAGTGCCACATAGGAGGTCAGCAGAAACTAGAAGCAGTCCGCTCTCTCCTTCCACAAGGTGGGTCCCAGGGATGGAACACAAGCTTCCAAACTTAGCAATATTTATTTACTTGAATCATCGTATTGGTCCTTCGTAGTAAGATTTTAGTAACAATTTGTAGATTGCTATTAGGGATTTCCAAAATACCCCAAGGACAAGGACAAATATTTCATTAAAATAAATTTCAGAACCTTGGTGCTGCAGTAGCACAAACAGAAGACATTTGTGGTGGTATTGTTTTCCTCAAAATATTGTGTACCCTCATAAACTTATCTGGGGTCAGAGAACAGAACAGCCACTAGATATAGAGGCCAGAAAATGGTGGCACACATACCTTTAATCCTAACACTTGGGAGGCAGAGATCCATCTGGATCTCTGTGAGTTTAAAGCCAGGCTGGAAACAGCCAGGCATGGTGACTCATGCCTTTAATCCCAGGAAGTGTGGGCAGAAAGCAGAAAGTTATATAAGGTGTGAAAACTAGGAACTAGGTTGGTTAAGCTTTTAGGCTTTTAGCAGCAGTTCAGC